CCCTGCGGGTAAAAACGCTCATTTTACGGAACCGGCCAAACATCCCAAAGTAGCGGGGCCCTTCTGACACAAAAACGTGTTGAGTCTCAGTGAGGCATTCCTGGATTTTTTTAAAATAGCTTTAAAATAACATTTAAATTTCCACTTCAAAAACATCACCCACACCTTGTCAGTCAATGTGGATGTTTGGCTATGCCGTGCTGGTGCGTATGTGAAGTAGGGAGCGGTGGTGCAGCGGTTAGAGCACTGTACTACAAACCTGGCGACCCGGGTTCGATTCCCGCTCACGGCCACCAACACCAGTGACGATTGTCTGAACCTGTCCTGGGTCTCCCCTTAGTCGACTCAGCCTCATTATTCGAGTACCTGGTGTGGTGTGTAAACATCGCCACTTGGGAGACAAAGGCGGCCGGGCGTGGGGTTGGCCACCCACCCCCTTCGTGTGCCGTGCCGACCTTCATTTGCCGCAACAGCCTGTTAAAGCTGTCGGGGGGGATCTTTGTGAAGTGGACAAGGTTCAGTTATCGCTGGTCACTGATGTTAGCCGTGGTCAGGAACCAAACTCGGGTAGCCGGCCTCGTTGGGACGGCGTGCCAACTCTACTCTCAAGAAAATAAGTAAACTTGGTCATAACATACAATCCAACGCTGGATGCAGGCCTTCTCCTGGCGTGTCGGTCTTTATTATCACCCAGGAATGCCTTAACGCTCGTCACGTCACCCCACATCGACCAGCCCCTCTCATTCATATTCATGAGCAGGTGACGTCATCAAAATGGACCCCCCCCCCCTCTTTAATGAGCATGTGGCGTCACTCCACATTGGGGGCATGAGGCACCTCCTCAGAACCCTCACGTCACGCGATCTCCGTAACGCTGTTGAGACATCAAAGTAAAAAGGACGCGAAATAGGTCTGTGTCACCGCGCCCTTACAAATTGCACACGCATTAATGCAATGAATATCACGTCGCGGTCTGCTTTTCGCTTGCAAGTTTCAGATTTACTGCAATACACCTGTCCTTGGACGGGCAAAAGGCTAGTTACTGTTATATAACGACTGCCCCTGCTAAAGCATTGCTATGCCAATTTTTTTTGTTTAAAAAGAGCAAGTCTCCCAACTCACCACATGCGAGATCAGAATGCCTCCCTGTTCATTTGACGGTTTATTGCCTGAAACCCTAGAGGCCAGTGGTTCTTAACCTGGGGTGCCAGATGCCCTCTCTGAGAACCCAAAGTGGGGTTCAGGCTGCGGGAGAAAGGTGAAGAACCGCCCAGCGTCTAACCAGCGTCATTTTATTTCAGTTTATAAACAAGGCGGTGTTTTTGTTTATGAAGTAACAGATATTTTTTTTGCGCACTGGCACAGATTAATTTCAACCTTCATAGTATCTCTCGGTCTATCCACTTGCGTTGCTAAACACCGCCCATGTACGCCCCCCCCCCCCCCCCCGAACGCTTTTGAATAAATTGCTGAATGAGGGCCTATCCACCACACATGTTACGGGACGTGGGGGTGGGTTCTTTAACCATTTTGACCCTTGCTGCCCAGTGCAGGTTGGTGAACATGGTGGGGAGTGCTCAGAACTAGTTCCGATATCACTCACCACTGATGTTATAGTCTTGGTCGAGAATCAAACTCGGGTGGAGAGATTTCATGGGTGCAGCGCATTAACCGCTGCGCGACCGTTCTCTCATTGTATATTAACGCATCGGTATGATTTTACGATACGATGTATAACAGCACAGTATTTACTTTACACTTTTCCCCAAGTTTTACTCAGCAGATTGGTGAAGGTGAGCTGCATAGACGTGGGTGTATAGAAACACTGCACACAGTGCCGGATGAAGCTAGTGCAGGGCCTGTAGCATGATGTTATAAAGGGGCCCTAAATAATATAAAAGCATAAATATTAAAACACACAATTTTTTTTACTTGCATAGAAAAGTAATTGCATTTTTTTCACTTGCTATACAGCCATTTAAAACGACAAATCGCTAACCTTAAACACCCAGTCGTTCATGAAAGTTGAAGGCGGTATAGTACTCTAGTAATAGAGCAAGTGCAGAATCACTGAACCGGAATTGATAGCTTGAAAGCATTTAGCGCGGAGCCCTTGAAAGTGCGGGGCCCGTAGCACATGTAGCTACTTTTGCTACTTGGATAATCCGGCACTGACTGTACAGAACAACAATTGGTTTCGTTTGCACTACCTTCTGTGGCCTGGAACGTAGAACCCCGAGCAGCCTATAACACCAGTGTTTTTTTTATCAATGATTATCGCCCCAGCCAAGCCTCTATCCAGGCTCAACTTTCGTTGAGCTTTCCTAGGTGTGACAAAAGTAGTCCCATTGCGGGTGATTTGAGAACGTTAGACATCACTTCTGATGCCAAACGGGAATACTGGGAGAACAGCCGCCAACGTTATGAAGTAACATTTAAATACAACGCTGTATATGGTCATGAGCCACACTGCTCAATGCGATCCTGACCTAACAAGGCCACGTGTTTACACGGTGGAAATTTTAAGTTAACAGCACACGTGCAAAAAAAAGTGCGGAACGAGCCAGCCAAAGGTATCGTATGATTCCAAAGCCAATCTCACATATGCCTGCAATTAAACTAGACAGCCTGTATATATAAAAACATACCCCCTTTGATGCCTACACACCAAGAAGATTCTGATATCACAAATTCAGTCGTAATGTTTAGAATAAAGATGGAGCTTCTGCACAGCACACAAGAAATATTTACCGACGTGTGTTGGTGTACGGTGCTATTTCAGGAATATTTTTGATGTTTTTTTTTCCTGGATTTTCTGTTTTCACAGTCACATAATCACTTTAAGATGTTTTCTTGTTCATGTTTTTTTGTTTTTTGCGGTTGCACCCGATTCAAGAGCCGAATGGCTCACAGGGCTATACCAAATAAATGAACTATGAACTATGATGAACTATGTACCTCGGCAGATATTAAATCGGCACAAACAGTTTTGAATTGGCATTTTTTTTGTTGCTTAGGGAAAATAATGATTATTATACACACGGTTCAATGCACGTGTCGTGAATGTGCCAATTGGTTTTAATCAATTCATGAATGCATCCTTAAACACCAAGGGGTTTGGGGGGCCCTCACATTGTAAGCGCTAAGGGGTCTGGGGGGCCCTAGTGGTCAGCTCACGCTATAAGCACCCAGGGGCCTCGTGGTCAGCTTGCCCTGTGCGCACTGAGGGCCCTGGCGTTCCACTTCCTTCAGAAGTCTTGGGCCACGCACCTCGCGCGGCCCCAGGCTTGGAGGCCCCCTGGCAGTCCGAGGCCCCGGGCCACTGGCCCCCACTGGCCCGGTCCATAATCCAGCCTTGGTAATATGTATGTTTAACTTATTTCGCACCGTACGTAGCCAAGCGTGCTAATCGGAGGTGCGGGGGAAGAACTACAAGCTAAACTAAAAAAATCTTTTCAATCTAGATTTCAAAGTGCATAGCTCGGAAGGAAGACATTAACTCCTTGCAACGTTATCGTTACTAGTTCAGCACCACCGGTTGTGTGTTTTTGGAGAGTAAACCTGCAGCATTTACAATTCAGGTACCGTGACGTTTCGCCAGTACTAAGGGGCCGTCCATAAATGACGTCACTCACCTAGGGGGGGGGGGTCAGACATTTGTGACGATGTGTGACGAGGGGGTGGTTTTGAGAAATATGACGTCACATCAAAATGCGCAACTTTAAATAAATCTCGAATTGTTATAACACCACTAATTGTTATAACATCACTCATACAACATCAGAGTGCGGCGCCACATTAAATACGCACTACAATGACAATAGTTTAAAGCGATTTGGAGCATGTTTTATTTTCAAAATGTAAATATGGTTTTGGGGGGGGGGGGGGCAGAGCTTTGTGACGTCATATTTGAGGGGGAGGGGTCTGACTTTTTGTGACGCCGTGTGACGAGGGGGGGGGGGGTCAAAAATCGCGTGACGTCATTTATGGACGGCCCCTTAATTACAACAACCAGCATCATCAGGCAGACAGCCAGAGAATTTTGGAGACAAAATCCTCCTGTGTCGGTCTTAAATAGAGCGGGGTATGAATGCGATGTCAGTTTAATATCTAGTGGGGCTTTCGCGACCAATATCACCCATAATAATATAGTGGGGTTTTTCTTGGGTTACGTTGCGTATATATATGTGTCGTTAAACCCGCACACCACCCAACGCAGCCGATCAGTAAGGGGTTTGTCACGTAAACAGAACGTGCCAATTAGTTACTAGTACAGCACACCGGTGTGTTGGAGGGCAAATCCACTACAACATTTACAATCCGAGTACGACGTTTCGCCAGTAATTACAGCCGGCATCATGAGGCGACAGCCACATCTGGATTTACTCTCCAACACACCGGTGTTGCTGTACTAAGTAACGAATTGACACGTTTACGTTTACGCGACAAACCCCTTACTAATTGGCTGTGTCGGGTGGTGGCGGGCTTAACGACACCACATTTATATATTGTACTATGGATTAATGTCATGCGATGGGAACCCAATTTTAGACAAATGACCGCGGTGCCTTACGTGGGGGTGGGTGGGTGGGGTGGTGGTGACGGTGGGTGGGTGTTAGGGGTGTGTGGTGGTGGTGTGGTGGGTGTTGGTGGTGGGGGTGAGTGGGGTGGTGACGGTGGGTTGGTGGTGGGGGGGGAGTGTTGGTGGTGGGGTAGTGTTGGTGGGGGGGTAGTGTTGGTGGGGGGGGAGTGGTGGTGTTGGTGGGGGGAGTGGTGGTGTTGGTGGGGGGGAGTGGTGGTGTTGGTGGGGGGAGTGGTGGTGTTGGTGGGGGGGGGAGTGGTGGTGTTGGTGGGTGTTGGTGGGGGGGGGAGTGGTGTTGTTGGTGGGGGGAGAGTGGTGGTGTTGGTGGTGGTGGGTGGTAGTGTTGGTGGTGGTGGGTGTGGTGTTGGTGGGGGGGAGTGGTGGTGGGTGTTGGTGGTGGGTGGTGGGGGGGATCTTAGGGCACGCGGAGTCTCCGTCTCGAGACCCGGGGGCGGAAACGTTTCGATCGTGACGCCGCTGACATCGCTCGCAGGGTCTGCCGCTGCTGCTGCCGCTCTCATTGTTTCATCAACCCACATTTAATCGACGACGGTTGAATTAAAGTCGCCGACAAACGCGTGGCATCGACACCACCAAATTTTGCCTCAGTCGTAGTACAACAACAGTAACGATTGCTTGCAGCACTGTACACGGTACTGTACGCCACACCTATACCGTACGAACGCCCGTTGTAATTCGAGATTTTTTTAAATGATGATTAAATGTGCTTTATGCCTACGGGATTGTAATGTTTTGCAGTTCCGGTCGTGGTAAGTGTTACCGCTCGTAACGATAACACCATTGCAGATCGTCCCATGTGCTGCATTTATCTGCAACTGTAATTCAGTAATCGCTGCTGTCGTGTTTTAAATAATATAATTGAGATATATGTTGTAATGTACGTGCAAAATTATAATGTATTACAACCACGGTCAGTGTCGCCTTGGCTGTGAGAGTATACAATACCGTCTCCTGCATACTGTATACTACTGTATACTACTGCATACTACTGGTACTGTATGCTACTGGTACTGTATAGTACTGGTACTGTATGCTACTGGTACTGTATACTACTGGCACTGTATACGACTGGTACTGTATGCTACTGGTACTGTATACTACTGGTACTGTATACTACTGGCACTGTATACTACTGGCATTGTGTACTACTGGTACTGTGTACTACTGGCACTGTATACTACTGGCACTGTATACTACTGGTACTGTATGCTACTGGTACTGTATATTACTGGTACTGTATATTACTGGCACTGTATATTACTGGCACTGTATGCTGCTATTACTGTATGCTACTGGTACTGTATGCTACTGGTACTACTGGCACTGTATACTACTGGCAATGTATACTACTGGCACTGTATGCTACTGGTACTACTGCTACTGGCACCGTATAGTGCAGGGGTCGGGAACCTTTTTGACTAAGAGAGCCATGAAAGCAAAAAATTTGGAAATTTATTTCAGTGAGAGCCATATAATATATTTTAAAAGTGAATTCAACTAAATGTCAGTATAATAAGCCTCTGAATTTATTCTTTTAAATAATGTTATAACACTCACCATTAATGCGACTTCTGGTGCTGCATGGATTTGCTGATGTCTTTGTAGTCGGGTTGGTACTTGGTGAGGTTAAGCTTCATGCAAGCGTTGAGGCTTTCATCCGTTAAACGTGATCGTAGGTTGGACTTGATGTTTTTAAGATGTGAGAATGACTGCTCACATGCATACGTAGATCCAAACATGGTCAATACAGCAATACTCACACGCTGCAGTGTGTGGTATGTGACAGGAAGCGCGTTCCAAGTTTTGAGAATCAGCTGGTCTTCGGGTTGGAGTTTTTTCATTTCTGTCCACATGTGCTTGCTCGCCAACTCCGCTTTCTGTCGTGTGATTCTTTCCAAATCTTCATTCAGTGACTTGAACTTATTCACCCACATGTCTGAGGCCTTCAGGTCAGCCACTTCTGCTTCAAAATCTCTGACGGAGACACCAGGGATGTAATTCAGGTCGGCTGTGTTCAGTGAACACTCGTTTGGATGGGTGATGAACTTAAAAAGACGAGTGTGCTCACGAAATTCTCCAAAGCGTGCTTTGAAGGACTGTAGGAGACTGGATGTGCAGCCAGCTAGCTGGTGGAGATCAAGGTTTTGAATGGGCTCACTTGCTGTGCATGCATCTTTAAATTGGCTCAGTTTTTCAAAATGTAGTAAACGACCTGTTTCAAGATCCGTGATGAAAAGCTCCAGCTTGTTTTCAAAAGCAAATACAGCTTGTTGAAGGGATAACACTGTATTTCCAATGCCTTGCATTTTCACGTTGAGCTGGTTCAGATGTTCAGTCAGATCTACGAGATAGTAAAACTTGAGGAGCCACTCGGTGTCGGCTAGCTCAGGATGCCCGACGCCTTTCATTTCAAGGAAAGTCCGGATTTCGTTCAGGCAAGCCGCAAAACGGCTTAGCACCTTCCCTCTTGACAACCAACGCACATTGCTGTGCAAAAGCAGACCAGGATAGTTATTTACAACTTCATCCAGCAGTGTTTTAAACTGGCGATCATTTAAGGCTCGGGCAACAATAAAGTTGATCACACGAATGACCAGCGACATCACTTCGCCAAACTGCCTGTCACACATCTGAGCACAAAGTGCCTCCTGGTGTATAATGCAATGGAAACTTAGGATGGGTCTATTTTCATGTTCACGGAGAAGCGCCACAAATCCTTTGTTTTTCCCCACCATACACGGAGCACCATCAGTACACACTGAGAGAAGTTTATCCATAGGTAGACTTTTTTCTTGAGCAAACTCCATGAAAGACTTGAATAAATCCTCACCTCTTGTGGACCCTTTTAATGGCAGAACAGCAAGACTTTCTTCGCGCAGTGTGTCACCAACAGCATATCTTGCAATCACGCTGAACTGCGACAAATGGCTCACGTCTGTTGACTCATCCAAAGCCAGAGAAAAGAACGGCGCTGCATTTATGTCCTTCACTTGCGTTTCCTCCACTTTGTTTGCCATCACGATGGTACGATCATGAACAGTTCTTGCCGACAGAGGCATGTCTTGTATCCGTTTGATTATCTTGTCTTTGTTCGGAAGATCATCAAAAGTTCATTGGCTACATCCAGCATGAACGTTTTAGCATACTCGCCATCTGTGAATGGTTTTCCGTTCCTCACTATTGCTAAAGAACCAGCAAAGCTAGCCGAATTATAGTCACCTTGCCGGGTCCATACGCGGAGTTGCTGCTGGCTAGCTTGCACCCTGCTCAGAAGCTCTTGGCACGCTTTCTTTCTGCTGTCTCCCGCAGGGTATTTTGATGCAAAGGTAGCGTGGCGCGTGTCGAAGTGCCGCTTTACATTCGACCGTTTCAACGATGTAATTTTGTCATTGCAAATTAGACACACCGCAGAACCCGCTCTCTCCACAAAGGCGAATTCTTCGGTCCATTCGTCCTGAAATGTACGATACTCGTCGTCTTTTTTTCTTTTCGCCATCTTCTTCGTCGAAGGGTTAGCTTTGAGCTAATGACCGAGCAGACGCAGTCTCAGACTGATTCAAAAGGGGGCGTTTACCTGTTTTACCCAGCAACGGCAAACGTAGGCCAGTATCATCCAATTAAAATAATGGACAATTGCTCCTGCAGCCCTGAACAGGACATGCGCAGTGAAAAATCTATGGATGGATTAAAACAAGTGAGAATATTTTGTTTTATCTGCGAGCCATATGCAATCATCAAAAGAGCCACATCTGGCTCGCGAGCCATAGGTTCCCGACCCCTGGTATAGTGTAATAAGAGGTGAAGGCGCAGCCCTGCAATTGCTTCTTTACGCCACTGTTGGTTGAAGGGCCTCCACTCGAGAAATGTGGCCTGGCCAGACGCCTTGGTAGAGGTGGGAATAGCCACAATTTATCCTCACCACACCTGCCGATCGGCTCGCTTGACTGTGGTGATCCCATTTTTACTTCAGGGTGGACAGAAGCTCCTACTGACCACCTTTTTTTCTCTTCGCATTTACATTGAAGTGGTGAATTATAATGAAACAAACAGCAACAGGCCAGGGGGGACCTTCATCCAGCAGTGACTTGACAAAGGTCCGGGCATATTAACGTCCGTGTTGCAAAGTTGTTGAGATTTCATCGCATACAAAGTGCTTGCCGCAAATGAACCACAATACCTTGCTGATCTCGTCAAATAACATAAACCATTACGCAAACTCCAGCCATCCTCGCAGCGGCGTTTGGCTAAACATCGAAAAAAGGCGTTCGCTTGCATCGCGTGCTTTCAGGTACGCTTCTGCGGCCGTGAGAAACGCGCTTCCGATGTTAGGAATCCACTGAGCTTCGCGCTTTTAAGTCTAGATTGAAAACTCATCCCTTTATGAACGCGTTTTGTGTTTAGTTTGTTGTCGCTTTCCCGGCAACTCCGCTTAGCACGGTTGGCTACGTCCGGCGGGTAATGAGTTACGACATACTTTCACGTTTTACTGTTTCAGATGGAGAACGCCACTGGACTTAAAGACGAAGGGAACAAATGCTTCAACGCAGGCGACTACGCAAACGCTCTGGTCTACTACACGAGAGCCATCGCATGCACGGAGGACAAGCGAGACCTGGCAGTCCTGTACAAGAACAGGGCGGCTTGCTACCTGAAGCAGGTGAGTGAGTCTGTGCTTGAGAGGCTTCCCACTCCATTTAAAACAAATCATTTGGTGTTGCTGCTGCTGCTGCGTTGGCAGTGGTGCGAAAGCACAATTGACTAAAATAAAAAAAATCGACACATTCGTGAATAACGCTGCTTAAAAAAAAGAAATACACATTTATATAAAGGTGACGTTTTGGGCAATGGGTCTTCTTCATAGCACATAAAGCAGCGGTGGTGTGAAACGTATGGGTCACGACTTAATACTGGTAGGAACCTCCTGGTTACTACACCACCAGCCCACAGGGGATTATTGTGTCCGTCCGTCGTGCATCCAAAAATGGGAGGGGTGGGGCTGGGTGGAGAGGGGAGGGTGGGGAGGGGTTGGGTGGGGAGGGAGGGGGTGGGGAGGGGAGGGTGGGGAGGGCTGGGTGGGGAGGGTGGGGAGAGAGGGGCTGGGTGGGGAGGTTGGGGCTGGGTGGGGGGTGGGAGGGGTGGGGCTGGGTGGGGAGGGGCTGGTCACCCCGTGGTGCCCTTATAAAACTTAACGTTTAACCTTCTCACGCCGGCTTGTGCCCGCCCTCACAGTCGGGCATATTTGCGGAATACACCACGTGGTGCCGTTGACCCTGGCCATTGATCGAGCAACCAAACGCTCCTATCAGCTCCCTCCGCAGGAATGTGTTTTAATATCACCCACGACTTCACTTTATGCGACCCGTGACTTCATGCGACCCGCGACGTGACTATTTATGAACGGCTTCGTCTTGTAAAGACATAAATGTCATTTTACAAATGTAGCTCACGTAGGCCCGTCATTCAGAGGGCTGAACAGATGACAGTGTGAGGGTGCCACATCTGGACAAGGTGGCATATGGGGTAGCACAGTCCACCCACACAGCAAGCGCCTCCAATGTTCTCTGGCTCGAGTGGGGTCTGGCATTGTCGTGTTGTGGTGGAGGAGGGCTTGTGCCATCTGACAATCGTTCACGAAGTGCCTTGGATAAATACAGAAAATTTAATATCTGTTTAATAAAAAAAAATTACAATCGGCATGACCTCGTAGCCCTCTTGTTACAGGATCTATGGAGACATTGATTGTGAACAGCATTGAATGATATTCACAATTGAAGTTATTTTATTTTGGTTAGGCCATGTAATATGTTCATAATAAAGGTTTCTGGGTTAGATCGCGTTATTTATAAATGTGTCGTAACCCTCCACCACCCGACACGGCCAGGCAGTAAAAAATGTGTCACGTTTGCAAAGGACAAATAGTTCACTACTTTAGCCCACCGGTGTGTTGAAGAGTGAATCAACATCATTTAAAATTTGAGTACGACGTTTCGCTGGTAATTATATCCTGCTTCATCGGGTAATTTGCCAGAATGGTCCGGCTCTCCTCTTGCTCCCGGTCTTAAATAGAGCAGCAGCAGGGTGACGTCATCATTTAACTCATTCAGGTGCAGTGATTTGAGGCGGGGAGGGTATTGTATTTGTATAATAGATTGGTAATCATTCAATTGTTATTCATTGGTATTTGTTTCCCTTATAAGGAATTGTAATTATATTATATATTTTGATTTAATAAAACGCTTCCAGGCCGCACTAAGCCTGTAGCTGTCAGAGCGATTAAAGTTATTTGTATTTCTCTCAATTTCAATGGATTCTCTAATTAGTCTTGGCCAGTAATAAATAGTTTTACACAACACTTCAACGTTATCAAAATCAATTGAGTGTCCTTGTTGACAAGCATGCTCTGCCACTGCCGACAGTTGTGTTTGAGATAATTTAATATTTCTTTGGTGTTCTTTGTTACGTCCCGTCTGTCCATATGTGTTGTGATCCAAGCTCCACCTGATAGCCGTACACATTACATTGTCACGGGCACAAACGTTTAAACACACCAACCTATTATTCTTTCACCTCGCCAGTCAGTTGCAGAGCAATTCTCACAACCAAATGTAGCTATGGTCAGATCATTACATGGCCAAACCCAAACATCAATTACGAATCGTAACTGTCTACGGAAACCCAAGCGTTGGATAGGAGCAATATATTCAAACGATTTTGACGCAACATTTCCTTTCCCCTCTCTCTTCCGAACCCAGGAGGATTACGCACGAGCGGTGGAAGATGCTTCTAAAGGTGACGTCCTAGCCATCATTCCATAACCAAAGCTACTGCACTTAACTCAACGCTCACAGTGTGTGCGCGCTTGTGTTTATGTATGTATGTTCAACTTTTTTCGCACCGTACGTAGCCAACGCTTGCTGATCGGAGGTGCGGGTCAGACTGTCAGTGTGTTTAGTTTCGTGTGTTTGTGCCTTTGCGAGTGATTTCGGTGCGGATGGTCATGTTGCAATGCAAGAGCGTGCTTGCGTGCGTGGACTTGCTTGGTCTTTTGTTATGCCGCTAGATGCTTGCTTTGGCACTGTAGCGTGGTCTGTTTGGAGGAGTGAAAAAGTGTCCTGTGTAGCGCTGGACTATGCTTCTAGAGTGCATGTATGAGTAAAGGTCAATAATGCAATAATGTCCTTTATTGGGTTAAAGCACACGGCGTCTGCATGTGCGAGGATTCCAGAGTGCTGTTTTCACCAGTGAGAGAATAATGCTCAAAGTTTAATACCAGTGGGTTCACAAACCCATTTGCTGTGCTGCCTTATGTTGGCTGCCTCACCATACAAGCAGGTTTGACAAATCTATCTTCCGCCAACCCTTGGCTCCAAGGCGATGGAATATATATAGGCTTGTGCCTCAACTCCTAGTTCCATTGTTTTAGCACGAGGTCCTTCAACTTGCGGCTCTTGGAGTGGCTTGCAGAGAGATACCGCTCACCAACAGATAAAGATTAGTCAGTTTAACACGTAGGCTTTCGCGACCAACATAATCCATAATAGAGGTTTTTGGGTTAAATCGTGTGTAAATATAGCAATGTGTCGTTAAAACCCGCCACTACCCGACACAGCCAACTAGTAAGGGTTGTCGCGTAAACAGAACGTGGCCAATTCGTCACTAGTACAGCACACCGGTGTGTTGGAAAGCCCAGCCACAACATTTAATTACTGGCGAAACGTCGTACTCAGTTTGTATTGAGAAGGGACTGACAGTGCGAGACTTTTGAGGCCTTGCTGGTTCAATGGACTCGGTCTTTGTGGAATGTTTGGACAGTGGCGCCATCTATCGTCTTGAGCAATAGTCACAAGTGCTGCAGAGTATTGCTACAAAATGGGACCTTTTTTTGGCAGTTTCAAAGCATGAAAAAATAAGGATAATTTTTTTTTTCACCTTTTCTGGTAAGAAAACAGGCGTTAAGATGTGCATGCATATATTATCAGAGCATTTTTATTTGCATGTTCACCGCAAGTACGTGTGGTTAATGCCAATTTGATGTCTTGCAAAAGGTGTTTGAACAACTTAACACCTATATTCATATTCTTGGTTCTTTCGGTAAAGTCACGTAGAAGGGAAACAATAAAATAATAAAAATATAAAACAATAAAATTATCACGACGTTTCGACTGCAACACAAGCAATCATCATCAGGTGTGAAAACCTTGCTGTGGTTTTTCACACCTGATGATGATTGCTTGTGTTTTTATTTATTATTTTATTTGTTTCCCTTCTACGTGACTTTACCGAAAGAACCAAGAATATGAATCCCTGCAGTCACGAAAGCTTTAAATCAAAACTTAACACCTGTTTTATTGCCAGAAAGGGTAAAACCTCGTCTTATTTTTTCATACTTGAGAGTATTGCTGTTGGAACAATTCCGCCGGGACATTTTTTTTCACTCAACCTCTGGCCTGCGAAGAAGGGCTATTGTGTAAAACGTCGCAGATTATATGCTTTTTAAGGCCACGGTGTTATTGACAAAGATGTTTAGTTTTGCGTTTTCGGGCTGTCTTTAATGACTTATAGAGAGAATGAGAACAATCTTGCCCTATACAGTGAGGGAAAAAAGTATTTGATCCCCAGCTGATTTTGTACGTTTGCCCACTGATAAAGAAATGATCAGTCTCTAATTTTAATGGTAGGTTTATTTGAACAGTGGGAGACAGAATAATAACAACAAAATCCAGAAAAGCACATGTCAAAAATGTTATAAATTGATTTGCATTTTAATGAGGGAAATAAGTATTTGACCCCTCTGCAAAACATGACTTAGTACTTGGTGGCAAAACCCTTGTTGGCAATCACAGAGGTCAGACGTTTCAGGTCGTTGGCCACCAGGTTTGCACGCATCTCAGGAGGGATTTTGTCCCTCTCCTCTTTGCAGATCTCCAAGTCATTAAGGTTTCGAGGTTGACGTTTGGCAATTCGAACCTTCAGCTCCCTCCACAGATTTTCTATGGGATTAAGGTCTGGAGGCTGGCTAGGCCACTCCAGGACCTTAATGTGCTTCTTCTTGAGCCACTCCTTTGTTGCCTCGGCCGTGTGTTTTGGGTCATTGTCATGCTGGAATACCCATCCACGACCCATTTTCAATGCCCTGGCTGAGGGAAGGAGGTTTTCACCCAAGATTTGACGGTACATGGCCCCGTCCATCTTCCCTTTGATGTGGTGAAGTTGTCATGTCCCCTTAGCAGAAAAACACCCCCAAAGCATAATGTTTCCACCTCCATGTTTGACGGTGGGGATGGTGCTCTTGGGGTCATAGGCAGCATTCCTCCTCCTCCAAACACGGCGAGTTGAGTTGATGCCAAAGAGCTCCATTTTGGTCTCATCTGACCACAACACTTTCACCCAGTTGTCCTCTGAATCATTCAGATGTTCATTGGCAAACTTCAGACGGGCATGTATATGTGCTTTCTTGATCAGGGGGACCTTGCGGGCGCTGCAGGATTTCAGTCCTTCACGGCGTAGTGTGTTACTAATTGTTTTCTTGGTGACTATGGTCCCAGCTGCCTTGAGAGCATTGACAAGATCCTCCCGTGTAGTTCTGGGCTGATTCCTCACCGTTCTCATGATCATTGCAACTCCACGAGGTGAGATCTTGCATGGAGCCCCAGGCCGAGGGAGATTGACAGTTCTTTTGTGTTTCTTCCATTTGCGAATAATCGCACCAACTGTTGTCACCTTCTCACCAAGCTGCTTGGCAATGGTCTTGTAGCTCATTCCAGCCTTGTGTAGGTCTACAATCTTGTCCCTGACATCCTTGGAGAGCTCTTTGGTCTTGGCCATGGTGGAGAGTTTGGAACCTGATTTATTGATTGCTTCTGTGGACAGGTGTCTTTTATACAGGTAACAAGCTTAGATTAGGAGCACTCCCTTTAAGAGTGTCCTAATCTCAGCTCATTACCTGTATAAAAGACACCTGGGAGCCAGAAATCGTTCTGATTGAGAGGGGGTCAACTACTTATTTCCCTCATTAAAATGCAAATCAATTTATAACATTTTTGACATGCGTTTTTCTGGATTTTTGTTATTCTGTCTCTCACTGTTCAAAATAAACCTACCATTAAAATTATAGACTGATCATTTCTTTGGCAGTGGGCAGACGTACAAAATCAGTAGGGGATCAAATACTTTTTTCCCTTACTGTATGTCTGATGAGATGGTATAACGTCAGATTTCATATAATGTGGTTGACTGATTTTTTTTTTTTACAATTGGCCAAAAATATACACGTTGAGCAGAAATGTAATTGGAGTTAGGTTTTGTGAACGAAAACTGCAGGATTGTTTTTGTTTAATCGAGAAAAGGATCGCCGAATTTGATTTTCTGGCAGATCTTTTACGTGGCCAAAAATACCTTTGCAAGGAGGCTACAGCCCAAAAAGATTTAAAAATAAATAAATATTCCTTCGTTGTAGCTTCACACCCAGGATGTTTATCCTGGACTATCCTAAGCAAGTCCTTAGGACTTGGAAATGACAACAGTGCGCATCCTTTTAAATCTTCATTCATGTCCCTGTGACGTCACGATCGTCAACGTGCCATGACGTCACTGTCTCTAATGGCTTCGATTGACACGCACGCTCTCTTTGCAGCTGTTGAAGACAACGAGAGCGATGTGAAAGCCCTGTACCGACGTTGTCAGGCATACGAGAAGATGGACAGGTTGGACCAGGCATTCAGAGATGCGCAGAGGTGTTCGTCCATCGAACCGCAAAACAAAGTGTTTGTGGAAACCTTGAGAAAACTCAGCATTCAGATACAGGAAAAGGTGCATGCCTGTGGATGTTTGTCTTGTGGGGAGCGGTAGTGTAGTACAGTGGTTAGCGCGCTTCACTATGAACCCGGTTACCCGAGTTCGATTCCCGCTCATGGTCAATAGCGGTGACGATTATTATAACCGGTCTCGGACCTCCCCTAGGTCAGCTCAGCCTCAAATGAGTACCTGGTGTGGTGTGTAAACAGCGCCACTGGGAAGACAAAGGCGGTCGGGCGTGGTGCTGGCCACCCCACCTCCTCGTGTGCCGCTACGGCCTTCATAGGTTCATGCTAACAGCACTTGCCCCTACAGTCTGTTTAGGCTATACGGGGGATCTTTGTCTAACATACTGCAGACCTTTCATCGATCCACTGCACGAGTCAAACTCTGGTTAAATAACCCTCAATGACCAGAATGGCATTTCAGCACAGGTTTGACTAAGGGGCCATCGATTTGGTGATTTGGCAAGAGAGCATAGTGTTATTTAGAGTACTTGACACACAATTGTGATTTAAAGTCTCGGAGGTCCACTTACACCATCATTCCACCGGATTTAACACAATTCATACGTAGTGGGAAATTAACTGTGTAAATCGTATGAATGAACTGTATTTTTCATTGGAATGTGGAATTTCCATACACCAACATAGTAAGTGCTGGCTCTGCTCATTTTAAGTAAAGTAACAATCTTGATTTGAAGCTCTCGTGACTGCAGGAATCCATACTCTTTGGTTCTCTCGGTAAAGTCACGTCCGTCACGAGGTGGGAAAGCTTTCCCACCTCATGACTAACGCTTGTGTTTTGCCCGAAACGTCGTGATTTATTTTATTTTATACCTACTTGACTTTACCGAAAGAACCAAAGAGTATAGTACAGTAACACTTTTTCACTTGGGCTATTGCTGCTATGATTACCACAATCACCTAGAATGTGCCCAGCCTCGTCAGATCTCGTATGCTAAGAAGGTTTGAGCCTGGATGGTGTTTGGATTGGGGACCACCAGGTGTAACACAGGTGTTGGGAGGCTGCTGCAGGGCTACGTCATGGGCAGTATAGTCCAGTGCAGCAAGATCTATTGTTTTACTCTGCTATGGTACGACGTTTACACCTGCCCAGCTTGCCCAACCCCCCACTGACGGGCATGGTGAACCGTTGCCATTTTACCCCATGACCCCACACATCGTGGGGGGGGAGACCCTTATCCAGCAGAATATTGAGTAAAGGCCTGTGCTTGTACATGCACATTGTTTTTTTTTTTATGATGGCACAACTGCGCCGTGCCTCTGGGATTTCCCCTCCCTTGACCGGAACGTTGGTTTGCCCTGTCAGCTGAAGGTAAACCTCTCCACGGACGCCAAAGTCGAACAGATGTTCAAGATATTGTTCGACGAAAACACTCCGGACGGCGACAAGGAAAAGGTACGTCTGCTCAACGTGCGCACGTTCGGGCCGTGGAGATGCCCAAGCGGCAGCGCTTTCGTCCGCTTGCAGCAGGGGCTTAAGGTTTCGAGCTCGTCGGCCTCCCCTGGTTATTGCTTGCGTCGCGTGCGTGCAATCTCCCAAAGGACAAATTAATCTTGGAAAGTTACGGAATCCATGCGTATGACGTGACTTTTATGCCCAGTTTGGCGTTCTGTGTTGCCCACCCAGTAGTGGTGGATCGCGTATGGCACAGTCTTTAACGCGTCTGCTCCGTTACCCCAGGCGGCTCAGAACATGGTGATCCTAGCTCGGGATGCCGCTGGCGCCGATAGCATCTACCAGAGCGATGGGGTGCGGCAACTGCAGCGTCTCATCAGCGCCAACAACCCCAGTATGGTCCTCGCGGTCATGCGCACGCTGGTGGGGCTGTGCACTGCGCACGAAGCCAGGGTAAGCGAGTGTGCGGGGAGCGGCGGCGCAGTGGTTAGCGCACTGTGTGTGTGTGAGTGGGGAGTGTTGGCGCAGTGGTTAGCGCACTGTGTGTGTGAGTGGGGAGTGGTGCCGCAGTGGTTAGCGCGCTGTATGTGAGTGGGGAGCTGGAGTTAGTCCTGCGATGATAGAATGTTTCCGCACCTCCGATTAGCACAGTTGGTTAGGTACAGTGCAAAAGAAGTTGTACATACGGTCAATTACTTACAGATAGACGTTATGACGGAGAGGCAGACAGAGAGGCAGTATGGTCAGAAGACAGACACACAGGCAGACAAGACAGACTGGGGGATGCGAAAAGAGACGTGCAGACAGGCGAATATGACGGTGCCCAGCTTTAGCGTGTTCGTTGTTTTGTTGCAGAGGTTCGACTCTGACAGGCAGCCCCAGTTATTTCTGCCGGTGTATTAACTGCATAATACGCGCTGTCTGCTTGAGAGCAGATGTGTGCCAGCGTCATGGTCCAAGAATGTCAAATTTTAAAAAAATATATATCTGCAAATTGCTCATTTGGGATTACACGTAGCTATCAAGGGCACTCAATATAAAAAACTAATTATGATTGAAGATCAGTAGGTACTTTATCTAATGCCACAGTCATTGCCAAAATATAAAATTATGCTCCAGTGAGAAGCGTGCGTGTGTGTGTCCAGGCCAGCGACCTGGAAAATATTTCTGCACCCTGCACGCCGCACCCAATATACAGCTTCACTGTGACCGCCCGTCACTTACTGCAGTCTGCTAGCGACCTATGAAATTACGAGTGGGAAATAAACGTTGCGTGTCCTCTTTCAGGCGACCGCCGTCCTGCGAGCGATCGGCATGGAGACCCTGTGCAGGGTGATGGCCAGCGACGATGAGGGCATCTCCATCGCCACCTGCAAGGTGGTGCAGGCTGTGTGGGAGTCCATTGTGGAAAGCCTACCCAAGGACCACGACAAGCAGCAGTCGCTTCTGCTGGGTAACGGTCGTTTCACCCGCGTCAATATGGGAACATGTGTGAACATGTGTGAACATGTGTGTAGGGAGCGGTAGCCTAGCGGTTAGCGCGCTGCGTTACGAACCCGGCGTCCCGAGTTCGCTTTCCCGCTCACGGCCAACGCCAGTGACGATAACCTGAACCGGTCCTGGGCCTTCCCTAGGTTAACTCCGCCTCAAATGAGTACCTTGTGCAGTGTGTAAACAACGCCGCTGGGGAGACAAAGGCGGCCGGGCGTGGTGTTGGCCACCAACCCCCTCGTGCGCCGTGTCGGCCTTCATAGGTGCTCGCTAACAGCACTTGTCCCTACAGTCTGTCAAGGCTATATGGGGGATCTTTGTCTTTTGTATTTGTGGGAAGTGCAGCAGTTAATGAGCCACGCTGCGAACCCAGCAAGCCGAGTTCAATCCCCTCTTATGGTCAACACCAGTGGCGATTATTTCAACCGGTCCTGGGCCTCCCCTAGGTCGAGTCAGCCTCAAATAAGTACCTGGTGTGGTGTGTAATCATTGCCATTATTGAGACAAAATTGGTGCTGGTGTGAAGCTGGCTACCCATCCCCTCCTATCACGTGCCGGCCTTCATAGGCGCTCGCTAACAACCCTTGCTCCAACAGTCTATGAGGGATCTTTATTTTTGTAGGTTCACACATGCGTACAGTGGAATAGCGGTCACGTTGTGGTTGGCGTGCTGCGCTAATAACCCGGTGGCCTGAATCCGATTCCCGGGCCATGGCTTAAAATCGGTGACCAAATATCTGAATCGGGGCACGTGGAGGCATTTATCTGCAGCGATTTGATGTGGACAGGTTTCCCTCGCTTCATCCCGGTTCGGTTTGTGCTATTTTGCGTATATATACGGCTCATCTGTTTTTGCCAAAAAAAATTGCTGTGTTACGCGGTTGAAATTCACTCGCTTGCGGCTATGCGCTCGGATATGGAACCGCATCATGTGTACAGTGTGAACAGTATGCGCTAATCGGCAGGCAGCTGTCTTCCCCGTGCGATTTCGCTTTGTGCACCCTTTTTGTTTGGAACGCATCTACTACTGCGTAGAGCGAGGGGGAAAACCTGTACTTTCTTTGTGTGTCACATCTTGCCAAGTGAAGTGGACGAATTGTTGTTTGCAGATAGCAACAAAGACCTGAAGGGAATGGTTGTGCGCTTGGTGGAGATGTTGGTGGACCAAGGCGTGTCTGGATATGGGAGGGACAACGCTATGAATATTCTCATCAAGATCATTCCTCGAAAGTCACTGAAAAACCCGGACAATTCGGTCGCACTCAAGTTCATTGACTACGGTGAGTGCCGTTCGATTTTACAGTTGTTCAAATGTTACTTTTATCTTGTTATTATGACCATAATGATCATTGAGGTATTTATTTATTTACACACCCAGGGATGCGTCACTGAGTCCTTAGGCTCTCTTTCAGGAGGATCCTGCATTGGGATATTTGACCACTTTCATTCATGGGTCATTGTCATGTGCCAGGAAATTAAAGAAATAATTGGAACTCCCAACTCTTCTCGGTGGTTAGGAGATGTTAACTGCCTCACCTGGTATACAGGAGGTCGTGAGATCGATCCCAACTCTGATGCCTGTATATAGCTACAGTGCACAAAGCACTGTGTCCAATACTCCCCCATATATAGCTGTAGTAACAGAGGGCAGTGCCTTAAAATCCATTGTACTGTGCTGCTTTGATCCCTCGTGGATGCTTCGCACCTTCACCAACCTGCATTGACGAGTGTGGTGATAATCTGGTCAAACGGCACATCCAGCAGTAGAAAGGGCTGTTAACTACCTCGCCTGGTATGCAGGAGGTTGTGGTTTCTATCCAGACCCTTGACGCCTGTATTTTTGGAGTTTGCGTGTTCTTCCTGTGTCCGCTTGGATTTTTCTCCAGGTCCTCCGTTTTTTCCCTCTATATTTATAATCAACATCACACACTTAAAGAGCAGGGGTCGGCAATCTGCGGCCCATTAAGGACTGCTTCGTGGCATCATGTATTGAGGACCCACGTGCATTGTGGCTCTTTAAAAAAAATGTTTTACCGAACTCGAAAAAAATGGCTCTTCTTGTTATTTTGGTTGCCGACCCGTGATTTAGGTGATGAGCATACACCTTGGAGCATCGAAGTGCAGTACAACAGTGGATTTTGCGCCACTGCTCTCTGCTGAAAATGTGGCCGTCTGTCCGTGCTTCCCCTGTTAAGACAGAGAATTGTCAATTGTCACCCACCTTGTTAAATAACGGACATGAACACACTGTACCGTTTATAAATGCGGTCCACTTCATAATCGCCACCAAATTTCCACGCGACAGTGGGGGGGGGACACACACACAAAAAAAAGTTTAATCGACGCGGCGTTGCTTCGCCTTTCGCCCTGTAGGGATGAAGCACGTGCTCAAAGTGGCTGGGATTGTGGCGGAGTCGCCGGGCGGTCTCGCCGCGACGGAGAACACGTGCATGACGGCGGCGGTGCTTCTCAACAAGCTGTACGAGGACCTGAGGAGCGACGCGGAGAGGGAGAACTATGAGAAGATTTGCGCCGAGTATGTCACGTAAGTAGCCCCTCCGCGTCTTTTTTTTAGTTCGACCAGCTTGAGAAACTAACCCGGGAGACCCCCCCCCGGATGTGTATGCTCCTTTGCAAGAGCGAGCGGGCGCTTGTAATCTGCCGACTAAAGGAGGGGGGGGGGGTGGGGGCGATGACTGCTACGTGTACCGGACGTCTGTCGAAAAAGAGCTTCATAGCTCATCGTATTCTTCCGAGACGAAATATTCTGAAGTATGAAAACAAAAACATTCTCATTCTGTATACGTAGTCCCAATTGAGTACTTTACACGATGGGCCTCATCTTGTGAATTACTTAAGGGGGATATTTAACGCCTGCTGTAAATTTGTACATAAGCAAGTGCTCATTTGAGCAGGCAATCACTTGCACTTTAATTGAAATTTCTTTTTGCAATAAAATAATCTTTTCCTTTAACTGTTTTGTAGAGATGGAAACTCTTGTTTTTTGATATTTTCCTTAATAGTCTGGGTTGTAATTGTACTGATTTGTAGTTTTATTTTATGTCAGGGCTGTACAGAAACTTTTGACGACTCGTAGAAATAGCTGCCGTGCAATCGTGGTTTTCACGTGAACATTTATGAATGAAGACTTCTCGCATAATAAATTCACAAGTGTTCAGTTGACCTTTCTTAAACTTTCAAAGTGTTTTCAATTTGCTGCACTTACAAGGTGCAATCTTCAACTGTAATAAGTCAAGTCAGTCTCTCTGCCTGCTGTATCTACTGAGTAAACATTGTACGTGTAAATGTACAGCGGGTCTGTGAATCCACTACTTGATGCAGGCTGTGGGGGTTATTTGACCTCGCCATGTTGGTCGGGGCCGGTTTAAAACTCATAAACACAAATTAATTAGAAGCACAGTGTTGTCCAGTCGAAAATATTTCCCCGCGAGCGTCCAACTAACGTGGCTTGAATGCTCGAGTGACGGATACAATTTTAATTTGCAGTTCATTCGGAAGTGAGAGGCTCAATGAGGGTGTGACATAAAGTGGTGGGCCCGCTGTGGACTGTAGGCTGCGGGCTCCCCCGACTTCACGTCGAGGCAGGCAGCTTAGGCGCGGGAGCATAGTGAAATACAACAATTAATTTTGCTGCACTGCCATCAAACGACCGCCATCGTTGACTTCCGACAAGCGCGTCGCTGACCGTGCGTTTTGTGTTTTATTTTCTTTTCGCGTTGCCGCAGGAAATATTTCGGTGTGAGCGACGCGGCCGGAAATCTGCACGCCATCCAGACCATATCGGGGCTTCTGCAGGGCCCCTTTGATGTGGGCAACAAGATCCTGGAACTCAAGGGCGTCTTGGAGACGATGGTGGCTCTGGTGGCCTCGGAGCGCGAGCTCGATCAGCTGGTGGCCACGGAGGCGCTGATCTACGCCGCCGCCAAGTCCAACCGCGCCACCTTCATCACCAGCAACGGCGTGTCGCTGCTCAAGGACATTTACAAGAAAACGACCAACGACAAAATCAAGATCCGCGCGCTGGTGGTGCGTTCGGCGGCGGTTTTCTTCGCGGTGATTTGTATCTGTCGCTCTGCTCCACCGAGTGTTATCCCCATCGTAACCAAGGGTCGACGTCCGTGACGGACCGCTTGCCAGCTTTTGCGACCTTCAGCGTCTCGCGTGGCCAGTCCAGTCCATGTGTTTGCACGACCCTGCTCACCGTCTCACATTTTCTCACCTTTTTGAAAAGCTTGTTTTAGTCTTGACTTGTACTGAAACGAAGGGTCTTCTGGCCTTTGAATATAGCTGTTTGCGACGGATCTTTCCCCGACCCTCTAACAGCGAACCCGCCAATGAGCAAGTAATAATAATAATAATACGTGCGATGCACGTGTGTTTTTTACAGGGACTGTGTAAAGTGGGCTCCGCTGGAGGCACTGACTATAGCCTGAGGCAGTTTGCAGAAGGCTCAATGGAGAAACTGGCCAAGCAATGCAGGAAGTAAGTGATTATTAGGGGACCTTTTTTCCCAGTATCAAAGTATGAAAAGTAATAAGAGGTTTTACCCTTTCTGGCAATTTAACAAGAGGTGTTAAGATGTTCAAACACCAAATAGATACCGTTTGCAAGGAATCAAGTTTACTGCATTAACCACACACAGTACTTGTGGTGAAACATGCAGACAAAACGTGCTCTGATAGTACATGCATTGTCTTGCCAGAAAGGGGTAAAACCTATTCTTATTGATGTTTTGTGTTCGTCCACTAATAGGCTACGATGCTCTTCCCGTGCTGTAAATGCGAGCACACCGGACTTGCTATGTGGGAGCCCCGGCACATCCAGTGTCCAAACGTGTTTCTCAAATCGACCTCCGCCTCTGCCCACCCAACTATACATGGGTACAGTGTCAGTTAGTCCACAGGCGGGGCCACATGTGGTGGTGTGAAGTGTGGGTACTGCCAACTTCTACTATTATTTTTATTTGACCAGATGAGGCTCACTGAGCTATGTAGCTCTTTTTCAGAAGCGACCTCCCCACAAATGATATCCTAATGAAGTGGCTTATCACGTGAACATTTATAGCAGCCAAATACTCTAAAATGCGCGATGTTGATTCTACAGTGAGGGAAAAAAGTATTTGATCCCCTGCTGATTTTGTACGTTTGCCCACTGACAAAGAAATGATCAGTCTATAATTTTAATGGTAAGTTTATTTGAACAGTGAGAGACAGAATAACAACAACAACAAAATCCAGAAAAACGCATGTCAAAAATGTTCTAAATTGATTTGCATTTTAATGAGGGAAACAAGTATTTGACCCCTCTGCAAAACATGACTTAGTATTTGGTGGCAAAACCCTTGTTGGCAATCACAGAGGTCAGACGTTTCTTGTAGTTGGCCACCAGTTTTGCACACATCTCAGGAGGGATTTTGTCCCACTCCTCTTTACAGATCTTATCCAAGTCATTAAGGTTTCGAGGCTGACGTTTGGCAACTCGAACCTTCAGCTCCCTCCACAGATTTTCTATGGGATTAAGGTCTGGAGACTGGCTAGGCCACTCCAGGACCTTAATCTGCTTCTTCTTGAGCCACTCCTTTGTTGCGTTGGCCGTGTGTTTTGGGTCATTGTCATGCTGGAATACCCATCCACGACCCATTTTCAATGCCCTGGCTGAGGGAAGGAGGTTCTCACCCAAGATTTGACGGTACATGGCCCCGTCCATCGTCCCTTTGATGCGGTGAAGTTGTCCTGTCCCCTTAGCAGAAAAACACCCCCAAAGCATAATGTTTCCACCTCCATGTTTGACGGTGGGGATGGTGTTCTTGGGGTCATAGGCAGCATTCCTCCTCCTCCAAACACGGCGAGTTGAGTTGATGCCAAAGAGCTCCATTTTGGTCTCATCTGACAACACTTTCACCCAGTTGTCCTCTGAATCATTCAGATGTTCATTGGCAAACTTCAGACGGGCATGTATATATGCTTTGTTGAGCAGGAGGACCTTGCGGGCGCTGCAGGATTTCAGTCCTTCACGGCGTAGTGTGTTACCAATTGTTTTTTTGGTGACTATGGTCCCAGCTGCCTTGAGAGCACTGACAAGATCCTCCCGTGTAGTTCTGGGCTGATTCCTCACCGTTCTCATGATCATTGCAACTCCACGAGGTGAGATCTTGCATAGAGCCCCAGGCCGAGGGAGAGTGACAGTTCTTTTGTGTTTCCTCCATTTGCGAATAATCGCACCAACTGTTGTCACCTTCTCACCAAGCTGCTTGGCAATGGTCTTGTAGCCCATTCCAGCCTTGTGTAGGTCTACAATCTTGTCCCTGACATCCTTGGAGAGCTCTTTGGTCTTGGCCATGGTGGAGAGTTTGGAATCTGATTGATTGATTGATTGCTTCTGTGGACAGGTGTCTTTTATACAGGTAACAAGCTGAGATTAGGAGCACTCCCTTTAAGAGTGTGCTCCTAATCTCAGCTCGTTACCTGTATAAAAGACACATGGGAGCCAGAAATCTTTCTGATTGAGAGGGGGTCAAATACTTATTTCCCTCATTAAAATGCAAATCAATTTATAACATTTTTGACATGCGTTTTTCTGGATTTTGTTGTTGTTATTCTGTCTCTCACTGTTCAAATAAACCTACCGTTAAAATTATAGACTGATCATTTCTTTGTCAGTGGGCAAACGTACAAAATCAGCAGGGGATCAAATACTTTTTTCCCTCACTGTAAATGTGGAGGGAAAAACCGGAGGACCCGGAGAAAAATCCACACCACCAATAGGAAAGAGACGTCCAAACTCCATATATACAGGTGTCGGGGTCGGGATCGAACCCACAAACTCCTGTATACCAGGCAAAAGAGTTAACATCTCTTCCAAGATGTCTAGGAACTGTGAAAGAGAAGATCAAATACCCAGTCGAGGGGCTCTAGAGCTCCCTCTAGTTGAGGCCCTTCCACCAGCAAGCAATCTCAGGCCTCTTGAGCTATCATTTGTGGCCACGTCGCTTCTGAAAAGAGATGTATAGTTCAGTGGGGCTTACCTTGTTAAATAAAATAAGTGAGGTGCCGAGTGGATTATTACATCATGGGATTGTGAGTGGCGGTGGCTTGCTGAGGCCTTTGACCAGCAGTGGATTTAACATGGCCGATGATGCTGATGATGATATGGAACAGCGGTTGTTTAAATTTTGATCTAAAGCTTTTCTTGACTGCAGGGATTCATATTCTTGGTTCTTTCGGTAAAGTCATCGCGTAGAAGGGAAACAATAAAATAATAAAAATATAAAACAATGAAATTCTCACGATGTTTCGACTGCAACACAAGCAATCATCATCAGGTGCTGTGGTTTTCACACCTGATGATGGTTTTCACACCTGATGATGATTGCTTGTGTTGCCGTCCGAACGTCGTGAGAATTTTATTGTTTTATATTTTTATTATTTGATTGTTTCCCTTCTACGTGACTTTAGCGGTTGTTTACTTCATTAATCGTGTCATTTCAGGTGGCTAACCAATGACACCATCGACATCCGAACGCGGAAGTGGGCCATAGAAGGCATGGCCTATCTCACTCTCGATGCTGACGTGAAGGATGAATTTGTTGAAGACGAAGATGCTTTGCGATGCATGCTGGAATTAGCCAAGGTACCGTTTTTGTTGCGAGCGACAAATCTCACGAGTGCTGCCACCTTTCATTCCCGAAGACACCCCGAGCAATCAGTTGCGCGACTTGGTTTACGTGTAACCTGATCGCTTGCATGTAGACATTTTATGCAACCGATTGCGAGCGGTCGCGAAACTGGTTTCTCACCATAGAGACACTCCACTTCCAAGAGATGACCTGCTCAGCGATTTGGCTGCACATGAGAAATTGAAAATATTCCACAAACTTGAATCGTTGTTTAATAATCTATTATTTTTTTGGCACGAGTTGGCTAGGGTGGATTATTTGCAAACTGATCATGGTGACAATTACAAAATTAAGTTACACAAATATTGTACAAATAAATACATTTAAATCTAACATTTACAGTATTCGCTCACTCGAAGATGGAGAATGAATATGTACCAATATATACCAATTTGTACGTGTAGGGTGGAGGAGGGTGTACGACACACATTGGCATTTTTAGTCAACGCAGCCTGACCAAAAAAAATCAATTGCGAATCGTAACCCGATTTGCTTTGATCGAGGCCAGCCACATCGTATGTTCTATGTATTTATGTTGAACTTTTTTCGCACCGTATGTAGCTGACCGCGATAATTGGAGGTATAAGGGGTACGCACAACAAACTCAACACAAAAAAGCAGTTCTAGAGAAATTCGTTCACGACACATTTTTGCACGTCGTTAAAGACACGTTTGGATCGCACCTCCGAGTACCACGGTCGTCTACGTGCGGTGCGAGATGACCTTCAACGTTCGGGCAACCCCGCAGCGTGTGTCTTTTTAACGGCGACGTGCGAAATGCCTCCGGTCGGCGACGCAGTCCAGCGATAAGACCATCCTGTACGCGGTGGCCTCCACGCTGGTCAACTGCACCAACAGCTACGACAAGAAGGAGCCTCCCGTGGAGATGGTGGAGCTGGCCAAGTACGCCAAGCAGCACGTGGCCGAGCTGCACCCAAAGGTTCGTGCGGCGAACGCGTCTCTCAGACTTGCGCCCCCGCTCAGATGAGCCGCCCGCCCGCCCGCCCGCCCGCCCGCCCGCCCGCCCGCCCGCCCGCCCGCCCGCCCGCTCAGCGTTTTGACACATTAACAGAAAACACGAGGTTTGTAACTCGGTGAAGTGTGCGGGTGGGCGGAGGGGGTGATATTCGCCAACCCCGCGATCGTAATATAATTCACCTCCGATTAGCACGGTTGGCTGCGTACGATGGCAAAGAAGTTCCACTTCATCGTCGCATCACGGTCCATGGGCAAACAGCCCACGTAGGTGTCCCCTGCACATTTCCCCAATTCGTTTCCACTTTCCTCTCTTGTCTCGTGTGCCAATATGCTCAAGTGGTGCACGTGTTTCTGACACCACTCTCTTATTTCGTCATCCCTCTCTTTCAGGTTCTTTCCATGTTTCTGAACAACATCAACACACGTTTAAATTTTGATTTAAAGCTTTTGTGACTGCAGGGATTCATATTCTTGGTTCTTTCGGTAAAGTCATCACGTAGAAGGGAAGCAATAAAATAATAAAAATATAAAACAATAACATTCTCACGACGTTTCGACTGCAACACAAGCAATCATCAGGTGTGAATACCACAGCAAGGAAATTAGAAAAAAAAAACACCTATAATTTTGTTGTCCATCCTAGATGTGTCCAAAATACATCCGTACAAAAAAACGAGGTTTGCAACTACCTACGTGACTTTAACGAAAGAACCAAAGAGTTTACAGTACGTACATATTATGTCTCTAACTCCGTGCATCTGTTAATACTTCTGTGCACACAGAAATAATGATGCTTTGTTAGCCCTGGGTGGTCTTTATGATTATCCAAGTTCTTTCCTGGGACTCCTTTGCCTGAGAAAATTGGTAAATTCCTCATTAAGGGTGTTGCTGTAAATGTTCTGTGAAGGGCACTGTGAATCACGTTACTTCCATGCACCCTAAGGCAAGCAAATGTTTTCCAGGACAAGAAGAAGTTTGTTAATATTCGTGTAAAGAAGCTGCTCAAGGCTGGCCTGGTGTCTGCGCTGGTTTGCATGGTGAAGTCGGACAGTGCCGTGCTCACTGACGCCAGTAAGGAGCTCATGTCCAGGTGAGATCCTCATCCATTGGCAACATCACGTCATTGTCAAATCCACTGCTGGATGAAGGCCCTCCCCAAGCTGCCGTTAACCACCTGTCACGATCGTGCGATGTAATAACCCACCTTGCGCTTGCACACGATATTTCTCCGGTGGTCGTCCTGCATTCAGTTAAAATGCATTTTGCACGTATCCGAGAATCCACCTAGCGCATGATTTAACTCATCGCTCGACCCTCCCCCGATGGATTAGATAGATAGATTTGATTTAGTTCATTAGGAAGGGCCCAACAAGCTGTTAGTCTCCATTTCATGGGGGTTATACGACGGACGTACTCTCGAATGCATTCCATTCATTGGCTGCCTACAACGGCCGGTACAATCAAGCCATAATCAAGCCGGCACTTACACACTGCGAGTGTGAAACTATAATTGGTTTCATTGGTAACAGTGATGATTTGAAGCTTTCGTGACTGCAGGAATCCATACTCTTTCGGTAAAGTCACGTTATTTTATTTTATTTCTAACTACGTGACTTTACCGAAAGAACCAAAGAGTATGGTAAGAGTGAGTGAAGGAAGATGGAAACGTCGTAGCTGATCGTCAGTAGTGTGTGGATTGCTCCTCCCAACGTACCCGAGTGGTGAAGTAGAAATGAATCGGCGCGTTTGTTCACGTGACAACTTTCGTCTATTTGTTCGTGTCGGGTGGAGGCGGGTGTACGACACAAACTTGCATCACGCTCGCATGATGGGACCCAAATATGAATTTTTATTTTGCCAGATAAAAGGGGAAAACCTATTCTCATTAATTTTTATGATTTCATATTTTTTTGGGTTGTAACGTTTTTCAGGATACCCCTTCCTTTATGTGGCTTCACATTTTATACGTATCATATTTTGAGATTTATTTAATGTTTTTTTTGCAGGGCTGAAAAGGGTATCATGTTAATACTTTTTTATACATTGTTAATTATTGACGATGTTTTTTTTTTGTCTCTACAATAGTCTGGACATTATTAATTGCGTTATTATGTGAAATGCTTTCAGGGTGTTTTTGGCATTGGTGGAAGAAACTGAAAACAGGGGAACGATCGTGGCAGAAGGCGGTGGGAAGGTAAGAAGGGTCGGTTTCAACAAAATCGTAACAAGGAAATCTTTGTCTTTCATAGAGTGTCCGTTTCGCCTGGGCATCTCGGCGAGCTTTACACGCGATAGGCGACTTGCATCTCATCTCATCAACGCATTGGCAAGGGGGTAACCCCCAGTGGCAGCCGCCCCCTGTGCTGCAAAGCGTGACCCAGTGTGTGGCCTGCGAGTGGACATCAGTCTGCCATTAGAGGCGATGTAAGTCGCGGCTCCCATCAAGTTAAGTCGTGGGTAATATTAAATTAAGTCGTGAGCCATACGTTTCACGCCACCGCCGCTTCACGTGTTATGAAGAAGGCCCGTTGCCCGAAACGTCACCTATTATATATTTCTTTTTTAAATGCATCGTTATTGACAAATGTGTCGATTTCTTTTAGTTAATTGTGCTTGCACAGCACTGCCAATGCAGCAGCAGCAGCAGCAGCAACACCAAATGATTTGTTTTAAATGGAGCGGGAAGCCTCTCAAGCACAGACTCACTCACCTGCTTCAGGTAGCAAGCCGCCCTGTTCTTGTACAGGACTGCCAGGTCTCGCTTGTCCTCCGTGCTCACGATGGCTCTCGTGTAGTAGACCAGAGCGTTCGCGTTGTCGCCTGCGTTGAAGCGCTTGTTCCCTTCACCTTTCTTAAGTCCAGTGGCGTTCTCCATCTGAAACGATCAAAGGTGAAAGTATGTCAAGCTTCTTTCGCACCGTACGCAGCCAACCGTGCTAATCGGAGGTGCGGGGAAATGAAGACAAACTAAACATGAGAGCAAGGAGTTCTAAAGAAATTCGTTTTCAATCTAGATGATTTAAAAGTGTATTAGCTCCAGTGGCTTCCTAATATGGGAAGGAAGAGCGCTCCAGACGGCCGTAGAAGCGCATCTGAAAGCACCGTGCTACTTACGAACTTTCAGAGCTAGGATCAAACCTGTCCGTATGTTCAGTTGCTTGTTTGGACCGAGTGTCGTAAATTTAACCAATAGACGGCGGTGGCGGCATCTACATCTGCAGAACGTGAAGAGCCAGTGGCATCTACATCTGCAGGAGATCATACAACTTTTAAAGCCCCTCTCCGTGTTGAGTGCACACGCCGTACAATTTGTTTGCAATCGACAGGAGTAAAGTTGGACTTAGGAACAAATCGACTTACGAACAGACCTCTGGGAACCTAACTCGTTCCTAAGTAAGAGGAGTCCCTTGTACATATGCAGAGTAGACTCTTGATTGTCCGCGCTAATGACGGCGAGGACGTCTGCGGGGTAATCGAAAAAGTATCAATTTTCCGCGGATCTCTTTACCAAAAACCACTAATATAGGCATAAATTATGTTTACGTTAAGAAAATTGTATTTGTTAATGAACAAAACAAAAATTTGTGGTAAAAAAAAATCGACCAATCGGTGCACGTGCTCCGATAACACTTCCCTGCTCCCACGCAGAAGACTCGGCCCACTCAGTGGATGATAGCAGAGCGACGCTAAGGAAGATCAATAAAAAGCCTACCCAGTGTTGCAAAGATATGCAACTACTGCACTGTAGGGGCGATCACGTGGATTTTGGATTAACCGGAGCAACATATTTGTTCGGTTTAAGCACGTGACTTGTAATAAACATTTCCAAGAATGAAAAGGAATAACTTTTTTTTTAAGATTTATTAATTTGGGCTTAAGGGAAAATCCACGAGTTACTCATTTATGTCAAAATCTCAGGTGCGCGGTGAATCCGCAGATCGGATAAACTGCGCGCGGATATTCTTCATGTGCAATGTTCTGAAACTACAACGCTTCATTTACCTCGGACCTGTCACGTTCACCCCCCCCCCCACCGCAGGCTTTAATTCCTCTCGCCCTGGAAGGAACGGAGGTGGGAAAGAGTAAAGCCGCTCAAGCCTTGGCCAAAATCACCATCACGGCCAACCCAGTGATCGCCTTTCCTGGCGAGAGGGTAAGTACCTAGGGGGAATGCCGACTGGTTTTTTTTTTACTTTTTTCAGAGTAAATAAATTTTTACTGTATCAGAATCGGATTTTTATGAATGTCCAGTCATTTTTGACAGATGTCATACCTATCAACCCCTAATCAGTGTCTACCTTATTCCAGATAAATTCAGACCTTATTGATCACCCCATGCCCTTAGAAATATCAACACTCGTCCTACAAAGTCCCATCACAAGGGAGAAACACAAAAAATATACGAAGAAAAATGTGCCCGTATTGATGAAACGGCTGTACTCCGTATGGACCTGAACTAAATTTTCATATACAAGAATACGGGTAAACCGTATAGGTTTGACAGGTATACAGATTTCCAGTTGTTTTTGACACATGTCCAGTCATTATTAGCACCATAGCGTACAGCGCGATATCGCAATACAAGCAGGACCCATCCCGTCATATATATGTGTGTGTGTGTGGTAGTAATTAATGACGTTACGTCACGCTCACCCTCCGGTGCAGTGACGTCAGAGAGTGGCGTCATGCACAGCAGGCGGGACGGTGACGTCATGTCCCCCTGGGGTATTTAGGCTGGGACCCGTGACGTGAACGAGGTCGTCGCGAGGAGCCAGGAGCGTGTGAAGTTGGAAGTTGGGACCCAGGGTAGGGGGAAATTAGCACCAGGCTTGGGTAGCCTGTGGGTGTGCTAGGGACCTCCCCTGTACCCTACCCCTGTAGGAGCGATAGGACCCAGGGTAGGGGGAAATTAGCACCAGGCTAGGGTAGCCTGCAGGTGTGCTAGGGACCTCCCCAGTACCCTTCCCCTGGGGGAGCGATGGGACCCAGGGTAGGGGGAAATTAGCACCAGGCTAGGGTAGCCTGCGGGTGTGCTAGGGAATCCCCAGTACCCTTCCCCTGGGGGAGCGATGGGACCCAGGGTAGGGGGAAATTAGCACCAGGCTAGGGTAGCCTGCGGGTGTGCTAGGGACCTCCCCAGTACCCTTCCCCTGGGGTGTGGAGTGTGAGAGGAGATGGGAACGCGTGCCTGCAGTGGGAACAGCCCAGCCGCCGCCGAGGGAAGGCTCGAGCCCCACCTCGTCGCCGGGCGGTGGTGGTGTTGCCCCCGGCCGGGACAGACGAGGGGAGCCGTGGCAGGGTGTAGAATAATGGGAGACAGTTCCACGTGCAGGCCAGAGTTGTGACGCGCACCGTAACGGGTGCGGGCGTCGGGTGTGAAGTGTGTAGGCCAGTGAGTGTGTGGTACACGGGGGTGTAAGCAGCGTGTGAGAAGATGTTACATAAACAACTGGCGCAAGCACTTACATGAAGCTCCGTCTCCGTGTGGATCTACAAGTCTCCAGTGGTGTCAAGATTAACCACACAACATATGTATACAGGATGATTGTTTTTTTTTTTGTAAACTGCAGTTGTCGATGAAACTGCATAGCTGGAGTGACCAGAAGCCTCTTATCTTCGCCCTCCACCGCCCGATCACTTTTTACGTCGTGTGCAACTCCACGCCTTGTCCCCCACACGGTGGACACGATCCATCACAGTTTCTTTGCAATTTTGGTCAAAGATCGGAGGCCGTACGTGGCTCATCTTCAGTACTGTAGGTTTGTAACAGTCCAAATGATCCCTTGCTGGACTCTGCACGAAGAAACGTACTCAAGCACATCTGTGCGTTGAACTTCTTTCGCATCGTACGTAGCCAACCGGTGCTAATCGGAGGTGCGGGCGTGGGGGTTTGGAGGACAACAAACTAACCACAAAAAGCAATTCTCAACAAATGACTTCTCGATCTCGATTTAAAAGTGGCATAGCTCCGGTGGCTTCCTAATATCGGAAGGAAGGAACGTTCCAGACGGCCGCAGAAGCGCATCTGAAAGTGCCACGCGATGCGGTGACCACCGGCTTTCTCCGATGGCGAGGAGCCAAAAGCCACCGCTGCTGCTGACCGGAGTGTGCCGGCACTGACTGATGGACAAATGAATTTGCTTACATGGTCCCTCGGCTAAAGATATTAATTGGTTTACACGAAAACCCATCGTTAATTGAAATTATCGTTAGAGTCTTAATTTGTTCCAAGACGATCGGAAGTTGACCTTTTTCACTATAAAAAAACATAGTGTTTATTTAAATACGTAATTTTTATAAATAAACGTTATAAGAACATATTAAAGCATGAATATAAACATTGATAAATGTCTACATACGGTATAAAAAGATGCATAAATGGAGAATAAAATAAAGATTTAATTATTTCCTGCTTAATTAACATATCGTTAATAGAAACGTATCGTACATAGAAACAATGGGATCCTTTGGGAGGCGGATCGTTCATAGAAATATCGTTAATCGATGGCATCGTAAACCGCGGTTGACCACTGTATGAGGATTGTCGTGAACTCCTGTAACCACAGATCTATGAGGTGGTGCGTCCCCTCGTGAGCCTCCTGAACGTGGAGAATTCGGGGCTGCAGAATTTCGAGTCGCTCATGGCCCTGACTAATCTGGCAGGAATCAACGACAAGTTGAGGTGAGCGATCGTATTGCTGGAAGCACCGTTTGCTGGTTGTGGTGTTGTATATACAGGGTGCTTAACATTTTTGTTAACACTTCTGATAATTTGCAACAATACCACGAGAAATGTGCGGATAATACACTTTATTATCCACACTGTATTGCCCGTTCTTTTTCCATTCTTTTTCCACTGTATTATCCGTTATTTCTCCAGCGCTGTCCTCCAGACAGTCTCGTCCCTTTCACCTGATGAAGGCCGCTTGTGTTGTGGCCGAAACGTCGTGAGAATATTATTGTGTTATTTTATTTTATCAAATTATTATTTTATTCTCATTCTACGTGACTTTACCGAAAGAACCAAAGAAAACGATAGTCCTATATAAGTGTTAACATTTTTTTAAGCACCCTGTATATATTTGTACTTTATTTTAAGGCCCACTGAGCTATAAAGCGACCTGACCACGAATGCTCACCGAAGTGGCTTAAACGCATGTTTTATGAATGTGGAGGGGAAAAACCGAAGGACCCGGACAAAAATATACGCGGGCGATTGCCCAAGACGAAGGGTTTACGCGGCTGTGTACGAGAGACCCCGAGTGGATTCCTCATCGTGTGACATCACGCCGATGGCGCAATCGCAAAGGAATTGGCGGGGGTGGGAGTGGGGGTGGCGGGAAAGACACATTAACAACAAAAAAAACTTAAATTTTTATTTAAAGCTTTCGTGACTGCAGTAATTCATATTCTTAGTTTTTTCGGTAAAGTCACGTTGAAGAGAAACAACAAAATAATAAAATATATATAAAACAATAAAAAAATTCTCACGACGTTTCGACCATAACTCAAATGGTCATCATCAGGTGTGTTGGTTTGCATAAATTTATTTTTAAACGGCACATTTATTTATTTATAAAAAAAAAACTTAGTCATAAAAGTTTAACACTTGCACGTAAAATAAAAACTGCAGAAGCACTGAATATGTTTCCTGCTCTTTCAGGAAGCAGATGCTCAAAGAGAAGGCTTTCCCAATGATCGAAAGCCACATGTTCGAAGATCACGAGCAAATCCGCGCCGCCGCCACCGAGTGCATGTGCAACATGGTCCTCAACAAGGAGGTTGGTGATGGCCTCACACCTCGCACCCTGCTGCCACCCTTGCTTCTGATTGGTCCTGAACTCGTGCGTGTGTGTGTGTGTGGGGCGGAGCGGTTGTATCGCGGTTAGCGCCGCTGCGCTACGAACCCGTAGCGACCCCGAGTTCGATTCCCGCTCACGGCCAACACCAGTGACGATTGTCTGAATGGGTCATTGGGCCTCCCCTAGGTCGAGTCGGCCTCAAATGAGTACCTGGTGCGGTGTGTAAACATCGCCACTCGGGAGACAAAGGCGGCTGGGCATGTTGTTGGCCACCCACCCCCTTGTGTGTCGTGCCGGCCTTCATAGGTGCTCACTAACAGCACTTGCCCCAACAGTCTGTTAAAGGCTACATGGGGGGGTCTTTGTGTACATATGTACTTTTAACTTCTTTCCCCACCGCGTACGTAGCCAGCCGTGCTAATCGGAGGTGGGGGGGGGGGGGGAAGGACAACAAACTAAGCGTGAAAAGGAGTTCTCAAGAAATTAGTTTGTCAATCTAGATTATTTGAAAGTGCACCATTGCTCCAGTGGCTTCCTAATGTCGGAAGGAAAGAGCGTTACAGACGGCCGCAGAAGCGCATCTGAAAGCGCGCGATGCGGTGACCACGGTCTTTGTTCGATGGCTGGCAGCCAAAAGCCGCTGCTGCGATGATGACCGGGGGTTCGCGTGATGGTTTATGCTGCTTGACGAGATCAGCAGGGTACAGTAAAACCCTGGATTGCGAGCATAATTCGTTCCAGAAACGTGCTTGTAATCACAAAGCACTCGTATATCAAAGCGAATTTCCCCATAAGAAATAATGGGAACTCGGATGATTCGTTCCACAACCCAAAAAATATTCATGTGAAAATGATTAATACAAAATACCTTTTTATATTTTTATTATTTAAATTTAATATAAAGTAATCAAACTTATGAATTCAATGTAATCGTGGCTGGTGTGAGGGAGACGAGAGAGAGGAGAGGAGGAGAGGCCATTATTGCAGTACAGTTACTAAAGAACACTCGCTACACTTGGACACAAAATAAAAAAAAATGTTTTACGCACACACGTGGTCACAACACTATAGTAAACAGTATATGCTCGCACGGATGTTGACTATACGAGTGAGGCACGCCGACTGAGACCGAGCATGGGAGATGATTACTCACAATCCCACAGCGAGAGAGAGAGAAGAACCATCGACTCAGTTGTGATCATGTGACGCTCGGTAGACAAAGTGTATACGTACTGCTCGTATTGCAAGACCCTCGCTCGTTTATCAAATTCATATTTATTTTAAATTTTTGCTCGTCTTGCAAAACACTCGCAGACCAAGTTACTCGCAATCCAAGGTTTTACTGTATTGTGGTTTCGATTTAAAGCTTTCGTGACTGCAAGGATTCATCTTCTTTGGTTCTTTCGGTAAAGTCACGTAGAATGAGAATAAAATAATAAATTGCGTTATTTTATTTGATCAATTTATTATTTTATTCTCATTCTACGTGACTTTACCGAAAGAACCAAAGAAGATGTATTGTGGTTCATTTGTGGCAATAACTTTGTGTGTGGAATGAGTGTGCGACCTTATAATGTATTCGTTTGGCAACCGGACGCCAATGCAGCTCAGCGAGCACTGGACGGACATGGTTGGATCTTGCAGTACCCGTCAAGAGTGTGTTTCATAGGTGTGTAGTGAGGTGGTCTTAGCCCTGAGGTTAGCACCGCTGAGATCCTGGGTTGGAATCCAAGCAGCCGCCTGTGATTAAACCACATTTCTCAAGTGTAGCGACTTCATGCTCTCAGCCTGGCCACACACAAACACCATAATATTATATCTGGTTTTTGCGCTTAACTGGGGTAGATTCCAGCTCTGATAATTAAATCTGTATGGTTATGAAGTGACATAGGCCTCCCCTAAACACAGCACCAGTGAAGGTACAATCGATATAAAAGTTACAGAAGCCTTTTTTTTACTCGAACTTCTTTTCGCACCGTACGTAGCCAACCGTGCTAATTGGAGTGAGCAAGGTTATAAGATCTTGGGAAAGGAGATGATGGGGGGGGGGGGGGGAATCCAAAGTGGACAAAGTGCGAGGGAAGAAGCAGAATGAGAAGTGAGGTGACCTGCAGCATGGTGAGAAGAGTGGGCGAGAGGGCGAGTGGACGAGTAAGTCACTGGGCTGTTGTGACCTGCAGTGCGATGGGTAGAACGTGGCCTCAAAGTGCACCTGGCCTGGCACTTAGTGGCGAGTGGCGGGGTGTTGTTGTTGTGTTGCTGTGACCTGCGGTGTGGTGTGTTGAACACAAATATCGATGAGACGAATCGGTCTGGTTTGGTAGACCGGTAGACCCTTGCGCTCAGGATTCGGTGATCACACCGAGAGCGTGAGAATCTCGGTGTGATCACGGACTCTAACGCTGTTCATCGGCGAATCGTTGAGCGCGCCCGTTTCGTTCCACCCTTTCCCACGAGTGGCTTCGCAGGTGCAAGAGATGTTTGAGGCAGACGGTAACGATCGCATGAAGCTGTTGGTCCTGTACAGCGGCATGGACGACGAGAAGGTGCAGATGGCAGCCTCTGGGGCGCTGGCCATGCTAACGACCGAAAACACTAAGCTGTGTGCTAAAGCGACCCAAGTGGTACGTGCCAAGCTTGGCGTGACTGACTCCACTTCCCCGCCCGGTCGCATCAGCCTTCTCACCTGGTGCACGGCTGTGGCACGGCACTGTGTAGGCGGCTGCGAGGGTCCGTGGATTATCACACAAACGTTGGGAATTCCCTTTCCGTGGGCGTTGAGGAGGAGCCGCCGTCACCCTGGCTCGCCAGGTGAAGGCGGTACAGCAGAATGTGGACTCTGGTTGTTCTGTAAATATGGGATAGAGTGTTTCCCCCGAGCATCGCTCTGCAATGAAGCCAACGGTGGTCTTCCTTTTGAGACATTCGAACCTGCCATAGGAACTTGGAATTTCCACCACCGGCTCAGGGCTGGAAACAGATGAGCAGCAATGCCTCAATGCTCGTTTGAGTAGTTCATAACTTGAACTTGTTTTTACCAATGTCAAAACATTATTGATATGATTTTAAACAAAAAGGTGAACAAGTAACATACATTTTTAGGTTAATTTTCCTCGAATTAACTTTTTATTTTACGAGGTAAGGCGCACTGAGCTATATCGCTCATTTTCAGGCGCGACCTGGCCACAAATAATAGCGCAACGAAGTGGAAAGTTATAGCAGACAAATAATCTAAACGTGTGATGTTGATTCTAAATGTGGAGGGAAAAAGCCGGAGAAACCCGGAGAAAAATCCACGCGGCCACAGGGAGAGACACACGCGCACTCCAAATATACGGAAGGTATCAGGTTAGGGGTGGAACCCACGGCCTCCTGCAAACCAGGCGAGGTAGTTAACATCTCCTAGCCACCCTGGCGCCCCTTAGTTAAAACCCAAACCAAAATTTGAACCCCCCACCTTCCCGACCGCCAGCAGCTGGCACTCTACTGTCGAGACACCCGGCGGGTTGTCGGACGACTTGCAAGCGTTCTGCTCTTTCCTGTTGCAGACGTCACAGTGGCTGGAGATCCTGCAGCACCTGGTGATGCACGAGAAGAAGGACCTGCAGGTGCGGGGGCTTGCCGTCACCCTCAACCTGATGAGCGCCGAGAAGGGCATCGCCGAGAAACTGATGGAGAGCGAGATGATGGAGATCCTGTCATTGATCGCAAAGCAGGAGGGCAGCGATTCGGAGAGCCAGAACGTTATATTGGCTCGCGAGTGTCTGTCCAAGGCCCTCAACTACGGACTGATTAAACCCTTCTCCGATGCTGTGCAGCCTTAAACAGCAGGTGAGCAAGAGGATTGCACACCGTCCTCAAGTTAGGTTTCATTCACCGGATTGCTTAAGTCCACGAGTGTGCTGCGCTGCACGGACAAACGTTTAGACCAACATTTTTGTAGTCTTTCCCCCCCCCCCCCCCCCCATCCAATTATACAGGGTGCTTCAAAATGTATTTTAACACTTCTGAGACTTGGCAACAAACACCACGTGACATGTGCTGCTGCCTCCCCCGGGGCTCTGGAGACCGCCTGGAGAAGATTCCAGGCGTAGCGTTGACAACGGATGGCGAGCAAGTGGAGACTCTTTGACTTTCTCTTTGAAGCTATTAACATTACATTTGTTATCATGTTATACAGTGTATTAACTGTTCTTTTTCCATTCAAAACGATAGTCCCATGTAAGCGTTAAAATGTTTTTTTGAAGCATCCTGTATGCACCGATAGTGATACTGGTGTCGTGTGGCCAGATGAAGTATCCGTTTGGAACTCCAGCAGAGCAGTGCAAACCCGCCCTCCGTGTTGGAGAACGGTACATGGAAGCAGATATAACAGAGCTACATCTGAGATCCCGTCAAGGAACCCCTCTGGTCCACACAGTCGACAGCAGCACCTCTTTATTCACCCTTTCACAGCGGAATGTTTGAAGTACAGGTAGTCCCCGACTTACGATACAGGGTAGTCCCCGACTTATGATGGAGATGCGTCACGACGACCCCATCCTAAGTCGAAAATATCGTCAGTCGAAGATGACCCCAGCCTACCAAGGAGTCTTAAAGAATGGTGATAATTGAGCAAAACAGAGCAATTTACGGTACCGTACTGTATAAACTATATACTGTACGTATTTATTAATTACAATACTGTATTGCACAGTAAAATTTAAAGTAAAAAAAAAACCAAGGTAAATTCTTAGCCTACCTACATGAACTGCAATTTCATTGAAAGTTTTTTTCAGGAAACAATCCTATCTGCTATAAAAAAAAACTTTTAACATGCATTGAACGTATGTATCGTGGTAACCCTAAAATGAAATCGCTAAAGCTATGTATCATACATGCATTGGACGTATCGTAACGTATCATATTCTACTGTTACTCGCCAAGATTCTGTCCGTCATCTGCATGCTTGGACGATGTTAGGTTGTTGATGGCTACATTAACTTAGTTGTCGGAAGAGGCGGATGGCGATGATAAAGCTACAGTATCGTACCTCGTAAGCTGCTGCGTTTGCCTGCCCTGCGAAATTAAAAATATTTTAAAATTTTGTCATATCGCTATCGCAATCGTAAGATCGAAATATCGTAAGTCGGACCTGTATTTGGCTGCTATAAATTTAAACATCAGACACTTCGTTTAGCTATCATTTGTGGCCAGGCCTCTTCTGAAAAAGAGCTATAGAGCTAAGCGGGCCTTAGCTGGTACAATAAAAACTAGTTTAAATGGTTTTAAATGTTCACCGCATGACCGTGAAAGCGATGTTTTTAATTCTCAGTGCTGTCATTTAGCCAATTTAAGCGCAGAAACAATTTCAATGTGATGGGGTTTTTGTGTGTGTGTGTGTGCAGTAATTGGTGATCGGACAGAGACCATCGCTACACTTGACACGCTACTTTACTCCTGCGTGGAATGATTTTAACCCAGGATCTTAGCAGTACCAGCTCAGCACTCTGACTCTCTGAGCCACCCATTAGACCATATATTATAACATCTACAAACAAAGTACAAATATCGTGTGTGCGTTTTGTTCTTAAATTGCAAGCAGTCTGTGCTTGGAAGCATCGTCACCTATAATGGATATTAAGAATATATTCACAAGTTAATCCGTTGATTGCCTTAATTAAAATGTACACTGTTTTGTTGTACTTTTTCAAAGTTGGTTAGCAGCACGCATTCTCAAACAAATACGCGTTTATTTCCGTCAAAGGTTGACCGGTAAATGGCGTTGCCATACAACGTTCAGTCATTCTGGCTCCAGTCGGACCACGTCTGTGAATATACGCTCGTTTTATTTGGGAGTCAAAGTTTGCACATGGATACTTTGCAATTAAAAAATGTATAACTTAACCATACACAAGCATATATAGACAATAGTTTTCAGGTTTGGGAGCCTCCGAAAACTTAAGATTGTCTGAATTATTGAAAGCTCTCACTTTTTAAAGTAATGCACCCAACATTTAACCAACATAATCAGGATTAATATTCAATCTTGGTTTGAAGCTTTCGTGACTGCAGGAATCCATACTCTTCGGTTCTTTCGGTAAAGTCACGTAGGTATAAAAATAATAGATCACGACCTTTCGATCGCAACACAAGCAATCGTCATCAGGTGGGACAACCACAGCAAGAAAAAAACTGCTGAAGTTAGGCGAGAGATCTGCCGTGGCACGAGGTTATAGAGGCCTCGGCAGTAGGGGGGAGAGAGAAGGGGGAGGAGGGGGCAGAAAGTGGACCCCGCAGGATTAATATTGCATATTTACAAAATGCAAAGGCCACATTTGCGCCTAGACTGCTCACAAATATACCGTCATTTTTTCCTTCACTTCAGAGGTTGTAGAGTAGGACACGTGATCTGTGTATCGATCGAAAACGTAAAAATATTTCGTAATCAGTATCACGGCATCGCATTTTCAAAAAAAATATATAAAACGACAGCTCGCTGTTGTGTTTTCGACTTGTGCCTATTGTCTCCGGGCACGGAGTCCAACGGTTTTACCCCCCACGGGCTGGGGAGCTTGTTTAGCGAGAGAGCCGTACAGCACGAGCTGCCAAAACCTCTGCGGCAGTGGAAGGAGAAGGGAAACTGAATCTTGAACGCCTTTCCCTTGTGGGGACCACCACCGCCTTCGTGAACATTCGCTCAATTCCGTTTTCAAAGTTTTCAAATGCTCGTTTATTCGTGAGGGATACATTCGGGAGATGCCCGTGAACACCACATTTCACGGATGATGATGTTGGCCTACGAAAACCTATTCCCTTAAATAAGTACGTAAATAAGCTGTTAAATACATGACAATTATCATAACGCGTCTCTTAATCTCATCACTTTATCGAATTACTTTCTCGCATCACATTCTCTCTCATCACTTGATCTCTCATCACATTCTCTCTCATCACTTTCTCTCTCGTTTTATCTGATCACTTTATCTCATCACTTTCCATCTCTCGATGCGGTCGTGTAGAGTTCCGGATGCGATTCGCGGATAGCCAAAATCGCGGATAGCAAGTTTGTGAATAACGAGGGGATAATGTGCACATTTACAAACTTTGTATTTTAAATGATTGTCAATTACTTCATTGTTTTACGTCGGTTTGTTTTACACGGATGCGTGTGCTTTTTTTTTTATTTCTAGTTACAACGGTGAAATATTTCCAGTGCTGTAACACGTCAGGGGGGGGAAGGCTTTGTCCATCCGCCTTGGTTTGTTCACGCGTTGGCCACCGACGTATTTATCTCATGAATTGCCCTCTCCCATTTGGCACTGCGATCGTGCGACTGGCGCCGGGTCGTGAAACGAAGGAATTCCGGGGTCCAACGTCTGAACGACGATGAGCAGAAAGTGGAACATCGCCTCGTGTCGGCTAAGGCTCCGAGGAGATGAAATCGCAACAAAACGTGTTCCAGTTCCCTTGGTTCTGTCCACCGCTTCACGCCCAGTAGGTGGCGTCGTCTCTCTCTCTCTCTGTCGCTCCTTGCCCTGCGTAGCTAGCGTCCCCCGTCCGTCGCACTGCAATCGAAGCAACAAAATGTTTGAATCCCCAGTGCTGGATCGTGACGAGAGGCGTTCAAATGAAGTTGGTCAACGGGACCGTAAATTCGCTACGCTTGAGAAACCACGCTTTAATCACGATCGACCGTGACCTGGATTCAAACTCGTGGTCTCTGGCTGTGCCCGCTCAGAGGCCTCTGAACATGACCCTTGGCTCGCTTAACCCATCTGATGAATCTCGGAGGTGTCTTGACGTTATCAATTGTCTTGCGGTAACCTCGTGACTGTTTGCAGGCAGCAGTTAGATTGGCACACAGTTGATACCATTGATACACTCTGACTTGTATTCAATGAGTTGTATAAAAACATCACGGTAATTGAATCCCGTTTAACCGCACCAACCCGTGGGTTTGAGCCAAACCCGATCCGACCCCAGCGGTGGTCTCACTGAAGTTCGTCACTCACGTTCTGTTATCCGAGCATGGATAAGAAGAGTCACCTGTACGTGGTGGAACGTTTATCGTGTTTTCCACATTCTCCTCGGAAGTGTGGATAACTGGAATAAAATGTGCGTATATGATCTGCCTTCGAGTGGATAAAATAATATTTACGGTATATTGTCTTAAGGCCGTGTTAACGACCAAGGCAGTGATGTGTTTCTCCACCACTGCCGGTACAGTTAATTATTTTATTTTTTATATTTTAATTTATATTGCACGTTTGTTAATGCACTCATTTGCTGTCTGCGCATCACGGAGCGGACATTCGAAAAGCATTCCGTTCAGTGCTGTCCTGCTTTTTTTGATGTTGAAAGTTTATTTAACCTCACACTTAATTCTTCATTGCAAAAACTGTCATTGTGCATTCCCTGAAACATTATTGCTCTGTTCATTTGCGCATTCCACAAAGGGCACGTGACCCTTTCTACTTAGTCGTATAAAGATATTTCACGCTTGCACAGCTGAGAAATAAATGTTGATGTGATTGGCGTGTGCTCAGTGTTTTTTTTAGTCGGTTATTTCCTAACAATAATGTTGAAGTGTAACGACGCATGATGCGACTATTGAAGGCAGACCGGGATAAATAATGATACACGGGTGTTTTTGTAAAGTTTTAATTGATTTTTGAAAAGTAACACATCAATGTGCCTAAAAGAGGAAAGTTTCCCGATCTTTGCGTATTACCTCCGTCGGATTAAAACTACGGAAATGGACATAGAAGCGTTGTGAATTAAAGAGTGGAAGTGAAACATGGCTGAGGGAACACATGCAAACTAGAGATGCATTTATTTTAAGAAAAGTGTGTGGGCCTAGGCAGGATTCATTGTTACAAGGAGGTAATGTTTGATGGATGAGACTGATGGCAATAGCAGCCAAAGAAGGGAGTATGTCCAAGAGGAAGACCATCCCAGATTCCCAGAGATGGATGAGACGAGGGAGAGCGATTTTGGGAGACCTTCATCCAGCAGTGGGATACACCACGCCAAACACGAATTCAATATCCAGATAATCCCAATCCTTCTGAAAAAAGTGTGTTCAGTGAGGCTTTCCCTAGGTAAATAAGGGCAGTATTCCTACCTTAAATCAAAGTGTTCCCTTGTTCAAACAGGTGTGTTGTGGCGCTTATCTGTTGGCCCCACGGTGGCTAGGAGATGTTAACTACCTCGCCTGGTATGCAGGAGGTTGTGGGTTCGATCCCGACCGCTGACGCCTGCTGTATATTTGTAGTTTGTGTGTGTCTCTCTTCCTGTGGTCGTGTGGATTTTTCTCCGGGTGCTTCGATTTTTCTCTCCATTTCGAATCAACATCACACGTTTAAGAGTATTTGGCTGCTCTCAATTTCCACGTGATAAGCCACTTCGTTGAGCTATCATTTGTGGCCAGGTCACGTCTGAAAAATAGCAACGTCACTCATTGAGCCTTACCTGGTAAAAAAAAAAAAGTTGTTTCGTATAGTTTATAGTCTGGTGAAAATTTCACATTCTTATGGACGGTGCTGGTTTATTCATTAGGCAACCACTATTGATTTTCTACAAGCGGCGCTAGTTTTAATGATCTCGTCGGAGGCGTGAAAGGCTGAATTGACCCACGACTAAGATCTGAATTCGCCGATTTGTATTTTGGAATTCATAGCATGAAAAGCAATGTGCTTTGGTCTTACATCAGTTGGAGAAAGGACCCAGGGGGTTCTCGCAAGGCACGGTGTTGTTGCTCCGTGCAAAAATCCCTTTGGGGAACGTGGTACAAATTGAATGGAGCAGTTAACACGCAGGCTTTCGCGGCCAATATCCATAATAGGTTTTTGTTGGGTTAGATCGCACAAATATAAATGTGTCGTTAAACCCGCCACCACCTGACAGCCAATTAGTGAGGTTTGTCACGTAAACAGAACGTGCCAGTTCGTCACTAGTAGTACAGCACACCAGTGTGTTGGAGAGAGAATCCACAACATTTACAACCTGCATCATAGGACCACCTTTGCCAGTACCAAAATATGAGAAGAGGTTTTCCCCATTTTTTCTGGCAACAAAACAGCTGTGTTAAGATGTTAAAACACCAAACTGAAACCTTTTACAAGGAATCATGTCTGCATTAACCACAATGCTTGTGGTCAGAATGCAAACCAAAAACATACTCTGATAATATATGGCATTGTTTTGAAATAGATTGGTCCACATCAGAGACAGCTTTCTTTTTAGCCTTGTCTCAAAACGATGTTAGACCCTAGAGGACGCCAGAGACGAGGCTCGAAAGAAAGCTGTCTCTGGTGTGGACCAATCAGTTTAAAAAACAATGCCATATTATCAGTGTTTTTTTTGCATTCTAACCACAAGTATTGTGGTTAATGCAGACATGATTCATTGTAAAAGGTTTCAGTTTGGTGTTTTAACATCTTAACACCTGTTTTGTTGCCAGAAAAAAGGGGAAAACCTATTCTCAATTACAACCTGAGTACGACGTTTCGCCAGTAATTACAACCGGCATCATCATCAACAAATCTTGCTGCTGCTGCCTGAAGTACGAATGGATTTTATCTGTGGAATTTGAATTGGCATGCACTCGTATCACGCGTCTTGCAGTACGGGCCTTTTTGACAAGCCACTGCTGGATGAGGGCCTCCCTACACCGTACAGATCTCGGGAGGTTGTTCGACCACACTTCACCACGCTGGTTGGTGAAGGCAGGGAGCATGGACGTTGGAGCATAGAGCACAACAACTGGATTTTGTGCACTGCCCTCTTGCTGACGACTGCGTAGCCCCGCAGCAGCCCACGGACGCCGAGGAGACGGAGCGACGAGAGATTAACTCGCGTGAAGGTGCTGGATGTGGACTGTCACGTCCACACGTGACATTGTTTTCTCCGAGACCAAGGTGCTCTGCAAACCCTCGGGCTACCATCAGAGATTTGTTCATGAAGCCATCCAGATACACAAACGCAGACAAAACTTTAATAGAGAAGATGGATTCAGATTGAGCAATCATTGTAAGGACGTGATAAACCACGTCAAGTTTTAACTGCTATGATTTTCACTCACCCACCCGTGTCGTATTGGTTTCCGGTT